GCTAACTCCAAGGTAGCGGACCTAAAAGTCGGTATTCGTCCTTTGTGGGTGGATACCGTTGGAGGCTCAGTATTTTCGGAGCTAAAGCTTTCAAGTAAGAGCCCATTAGGTCGGGCGAAGCACGCGTCAAAGGTAAATTCTGATTTTATCCTTTTATGTTTATTTGTTATGCTTTATGGTTTTATTAATTGCAAGTGGTTCTTTGGGTCGGGGTCGTTTCCGCGGTAAGTTAGACTTACCAAACCCCAACAAAATATCCTCTTAAAACCTCCATTTTCAATCATCAACAACTATCGATTCTTATTCTCTCTAGTTTTCTAGTATTCTCTCTCTCCCTCTATTTTCTAAACTAGCTTTTCCCATACAAAATTTCGCACTCACAAGATCTAGAAACACCTAGCCAATTTCGAAGTTGCCTTCGCCCTAGACGTGAAAGGTTTTAATTTCTGAGGGTTTGGTCCCAAATCTCTCTTTCAATTATTTAATTTAATTGTTTGTTATTTTCCTTAAAGTTACTAACGTGTGTATTTTGTTATTAGAAAGAGATACGAGGCATCCAAGTAAGTGCTTTAATTGTTTGCATTGATATTATGATATAGAAATCATGTGTAGGTTGTTATTATGATTCCTAGTATCATGTTAGGATACTTGATGTTTTGAATGACAACAATAGTTCCTAGCATTATGTTTAGGAAAAAGGTTATAATATCAAATAAGCTTATTATGATTCCTGCGATGCTTCCTATTTTCTTTCTTAATATTATGTTAGTATCATGTTAGGGCTATATATTTGATCTTTATTTCTTAGTGACATGCTAGAGTTTGTTATTAATCTTGTAAGTATCATGCCTAGGATCTTGCTATTATTATGCTTTAACATTATTATGATAAATATAATTATTATTATTTTGATGATGATTAAAGTTATTATAAATTTATGATGATTATTATGTTGCTTGATTATATTTATCACACCTTTTATTGCATGTTTAAAGGGAATTTGTACTTGTAATCACGCTTAATAAGATAATTAATAATCTTGTTTGGGTTAATTTGATTATAATTCAAGTGATCGCCAATAATAGTTTTATTTGTGCATTAATATTCAACCAACATAGATTAAACAGGTTTAGGGTTAATCCTATTGATTCCATGTTAGTCCCAAAGCGCACACGAATACGATCAGAATAAAGTAGAGGCCTGTTATTAGGGTAGGTTCAATCTCTTTTAGGTTGGATTTGTACCTTCATCTCAAACTACCAGTCATGGTTCCAGACCTATTTGAGTTGACATTCTCCTGGATCATTAAGGGGTGTAACCGTTCAACCTTCACCTCATGAACGGTTTACAAGTTCCTAAAACTTGTTGGCGACTCTTTTGCTCTATCTTCTTTCCCTTTGGACGCCACCATGCTTTAGTGTATGATCACAATGGGGTTCAAGTTTGGGATAATGCTTGAAATATTCCCTACAACTTTTTGGCGACTCTACTGGGGAGGATTTCTATCTCAAATCCTAAAATTTATTTTGGCAATTATTTAGAATGAGTGGATGAGACTCGAAAAGTTCTAAGTATTTCATATGCGTAATTTTGATTAACATTATTGTCATATGCATAAAAAAAGATCTCATTGGAAAGGCCATCCGTAATGAGTTAAAAACATAGGATTTTTACGCGTAGAAAATTTGAGGAATATCTTTCACAACTAGAATCGAAATAATGTTGTGCGAAACTGGAAAATTTTGTCGAGCACAGAAAGCTGCTGAGGCATGTAGGAACTAGCGTCAGAAAACAGAGTCTAGCGCCAAGGATTTGACTCTGGCGCCAGGAGACACTACTGTGGCTAGGCGCCAAAGCCAAATCGCGGTGTCATCCTCTGTTCGCTGGCGCCAAGTTCTTCCAATACCGAGCCAAAAATATGCGTTCTAATTTTGACCAGTTTTTAGCACTGTTTGCTCGATCCTACTTCCCGATTGAGTTTTTCTCACTTTTCTAAAACCCATATGTGTTCTATATATGGACATAACCCTCTGGGAATTCATGCTCCATCTACCTGATTGAACGCTCTGTGCAACAAAGGGTACGTCCGAGAATGTTGAATTCACCAAACCATGGAAGCGAGTTTTTAACTCGCGATGTCCTATCCGCTCGCACCAACGCTTCAAAAGGTAAGGCTTCCGTGGTGCATCTTGACAATTAACCATGGACCCTCTTTGACTAATCCATATCCCGAACTTTAGAGAACTAGAGCCATGGTTAGGTTGCAAACTCATTGTATCATGTTGTGACTACTTGACTACTTGTGCATCTCTTACTTGTGCATACTTATTATGTGACTAAACTAACCGTTTGGTCTGACTTGTGTTTGTAAATAAGTCTTAATAACAAATTAATGACTAAAGGACTTTGCTCAATTAATTAATTACTTAATTAAATTTGAGCTAATAAATATACCTTATATCGAGTCATAGTTCCTTTGAGTCAACCCGGATTTTTATTCCCGTATATTGCACAAGCGTCAACCAGTTTTGGTCATAGCCGGATTTCTAGGAAGAACTACGAGTCGTACAACCTATGGATCTCTAGCCTCGAGTCTTATCTTTAATTTAGCGTTGTTTTCATCCCAATCAGAGTCAGAGATCAAAAGTTATGACTAAAATACCACAGCATGTCCAGTTTAATGCATATACGTGAGGTCTAAACTTAAGTCTTTATTCGAGTCTAGTCACATAGTCTAGCCACATGGTCATGACACAAGTCTTAACATGTCACTTGCACTCCCAATAAAGCACCCACTAATATGTATATACACCATGACCATGTCTTAGGTTCATGCATGAGTCGGTTTTTTCCGTCATTTGAGTTGGGGGTACATTCTATTCCTAATTTTTTCATATCTCTCCATCTACATCATCTTTCCATTCTCTACATGCTTCTCCATATCACAACCTTAATTCTTCCTAACTTCTTCCATCCATGCATGTTGAATCGAGTTTGAGTCATGTGATTGACAAAAAAAAAAAAAAAGGGTAATGATGAAACAAATGCACAAGGCAAGCTTCTCACCAAGATTTCATGACCTCTTTTTCTATTTCTTTTTTATTTTTTCCTTTCCCCAATAAGTCTAGCATAGACACCTTTCTTTTCCCTTAGATTTATTTTGTAGGTTTTTTCTTTTTCCCTTTAATAAAAATGAGTATTTATTTCCTTATATATGATCATTTCATTATATTACATTAAAAAAAAAAAATCCATTTCAAACCAAGCACAAGGTATACTAATGATTTGAGGTACCCCTTGTAGCCACATCATATTGTTTTTCACCTTTCTAATTTACAATCCTTTAATCATAAACCACTTTGAGCCTCGTCTTACGACAGACCTTTCAGTTTTCAACCTACATCTACCTAACCTTGGGATGGGATGGTGTGTTACTTATGTATCTTCAAAAAGCTTGAGTGACTCCAAAAGATTAAAATAGCAAAAAATAAAAAAATTAATAAAAGTGTACAAAAGGGCAAGTGTTTCAATGTCTTTGACATGAACACGTCTCATATTGCGTCTCTTATCAAGTGCTCGGTATCGTGCCTGAGAAACATGAATACCAAGTGAGTGATAGACTGCATGATCGGGATTGCCCACAATTATAAAAATAAAAAAAAAATGCAAAAGCAAAAAAAAGAAGAGAGCAAAAATAAATAAAGCTAAAAAAAACAGAGAGCCAAACCTCAAGCATGAAAATACAAATATTCCAAAAGCAAAGTTGCACACCTTGGGAGCTTATCTAGGGTCTTGAGCCTTTTATCCCCTTCTTCTTCAACCTTTAACCTAACCACGTTACAACCCTTAAAAAGACCTTTTTGAGGTGTCAAAGTCGAACAGAACCGAAAGATCATCCGTTGTGAATTTTAACCGATCTGACTTTAATTACCCGAGGAACTCAACACCCAAACCCAGTCTGTAACTGGACTGAACTCAACTTGAATCCGAATTTGATCCGATTTGAACTTAACCCGGCACTGATTTGACCCAATTTGAGCTCAACCCTAAACCGCTTTGACTCGACCTGAACTCAATCCGAACCGAAAGTGATCTGACAAACACCCGATTAAATCCGATTTGCTTTTTATCCGAACTGAAATTAATTCAACCCGATTTTAACCCGGCTGAACTTGACATGATTTCAAACTAACCATAGTTTTAAACCTAACTTATCAGTTACCTCTTTTTTACTTAACATATTTTAATGTCACATGAATAATTTGATAACGATCCAATAACAAGATAAAAAAAAATAAATAAAAATGTACTTATTTGAATAATAAATTTGGTCAACCTAACCAAAATTCAGTCAAACACGAAAAAGTATCTGAATCAAAATTGACCGAATACTGAATCAACTTTCGTAATCAAACCAAACTTAACAGAACCAAAATCAATCGAATCAAAACCAAACCGATCCAAAGTCATCTGACCCAAGATTAACCTGGTCAAACTCGTTTTGAACCCGATTCGGTTTTATCCGAACCGAATATGAACCGATCTGAAGTTGATCCGACCTAAACCCGATCTGTAATAGACAGATCTTGACCCTATGACTCGACCTGGAAGTGATCTGATCCGACCCGATGCGGATTAAAAGGATATTTTTGAAGCGAATATATCCGACCTAAATAGACCCGACCCAAATAGATCCGACCCAAACACTAACCGCTAATCTGAGTTGACACCTCTAGATCCACCAAGAACCAATCTTTAGCTAGTTGAAAACTTTTCAGAACTATAATTGATAAGAAAATCACCCACAAAAAATGTTATAGAAAGTGTAATTTTGAATTAATTTTCAAAGAAAACCCAATGTAATGCTCGCAAGTCGCAACTATCGAATTTTGGTCAATTTAACGGCAAGGGTCAAGGGAGGCCCATGCTCGAGCTCTTGTTTAATTGCTCGGCTTTGGTACGCCCACCTCGCTCAATATTAGCCAATTGTGTCTTTTATTTTTTTTATTTTTTTTTTTTTGCTTCATCCATTTTCTTTTCTTTCATCTTCCCAATTAAAATTCCAAAAACACCAAAAATTTAAAATGACAGTATTGTTACCAGGCTCTCCCTTGAGCTGCCATTTCTCAATTCTTCCTAGTGTTAAAAAAGGTTATTCATTTTCATATAAAACTTCAACTTCTTTCAGTTTTCCGCCATTAAAGGGTAGCTTCAGAATCCATGGAAGCTTAGATAATCTCGACACACCCACATCTGTTGAAGAACAACAACAAGAACAGAATTTGCAAATTAACAATTTAGAGGAAATAGAAAATGAAATCAGGGGTTCTTCTGCTTCCACTTCTACTTCTACTGCTGCTCCTGCAATTGAGAAAGATCTAAAAAAGGCAGGTTCTTTTTGCCCCCAAAGTTTCAATCTTCTTTGTTGTTTAGTAATTTTTTTTTTTTAATTTTAATTTTTGTTATCTTTATACTGATAATTGAATCATATGATATATATAGTATAATCTTTGTTAGATTGTTATATTGTAGCTAATAGCTTAGTGTTGGGACTCCCTCCTCAATTATGGGGTTCCCAAAATTATATTTTTTTTTAAAAAAAAGGGAAAAAGGGAGATGAATTTTAGTCAATTGGAAGTGAAGACCTTGGAATTTCGTGAACAAGAAAGTTTATGTATGATCATGAACTTAGTATGTACCTTGAACTTGTCATGTTTTCTAGATTAAGAGAATGTGACTAGATTCATTCTTCTCTACATTTGTGTGGAAGATTCTAGGCTGTCTTTGGACATCTATAAATAGGAGAACCTTAGAGGAGCTTGACATACAAGTCATTCCACAACAAGCATTGTGAAGAAAACCTCTAAGAGAGTAAGAGAGAGCCACAAAGAAAAGTGAGGAGCTTGAGATCATCTTCAATTACAAGTTAGTGAGTGTTCCACAATTGTACTTTGTGAGGAAAATATTGTTATCCATCCAATTTGGGTGAAGTCATATTGTAATCCTACTATTATATTATAGTGGAAGTTTTGGACTGTTAGTCCCGCGGTTTTTACCATTATTGGGTTTTCTGCGTTACTAAAAATCTCTTGTGTTTCTTTTTATTTCTATTATTTTGTGATTCCCATCTTGAATACACAGAGAGAGAAATACTATTTTTCCCAACACTTAGGCCTATTCTCTTACGTTGAAATTCAATTCAGCTCAGTTCAGTTCAGCTCCTAATTTCCTTCTCTTATAAAATGTTCATTTCATTTCATTTCAGTTCAGTTCAGTCAATGAGAACAGACCCTTAGTTAATCTTTGAATATATTGGAGGGTCGAGTTTAATTTAATTGCTGGAATTTTTGTGTTTGATGATAATAGATTAATGATTGGATTTTATATTAACTATTTTGGAGGTGAAAAGAACAACCTTTTGTCTAAAAATAGTCATCACTCATCAGTCATCACTGCCTTTGATTACAAGAATGTTGATTAGTGGAATTCTTTCCTTATTTGTTCTTAATGTGATATGTGATTGTTTGTTCTTCCTAATATGTTTAATAAATTGAAATAATAATTACAAGAGCATTTGTTCTTGGTTAGGGTTTGGATGATTTCGGACTTATTAAGGCAAAAATTGAATTAGGTTGTTGGATTTGATGTTTACTTGGAGTTTATGAGTAATGAGTGATGTTGGAAAAGTGAGGGAATAATTAAGGATCAAGAGTAAACTTGAAATGTGGATTTTTAAAGTGAGCATTGAACTAAGTCTTGTATGGGTTGTAAAAGGAGAAGTTAGTAGACATTGGCGATCTGATGTGTTTGATAAATGGGTGAGAAGGATCAATTCAATATTGGTCGAGTGTGGGAGCTTGATTGGCATATGATTGGGTTTATGACTTATAAGTTTGGAGGAGATAAAAAATTTGTTTCAACTTTCAAAACATTCAAATAACAAAAATCGAGTGAGAAAATAGTTAAAATATACTCCGTATTTTGAAAGTAGAATTAGGGGAGGTGGTTTTAATGAGTGAAACTTAAGTTGTTTTTTTTTTTTCGATTTTTAATAAATTTTAGGGGTGTTTAGGGGTAAAGGGACATTTTCTTATTGTATTGTTTTCAATTGCTGAATGAACATCTCATATGTTGCATTCTTGTATTACAAATGCAAAGATTTAATAGGTTTGTCACATTGAAAATATAGGAGGATACTAATTGTAGAGGATTTTTTTACAATAGAAGGTAAGGGCCCTCAGGGTTCTATTGAAAATATGCAGAGGATAAGATGTGGGGTGATATCAATTGTAGAGGAGTGCAAAATTGCTTGCTCCTATATGTGGCTTATATTTTTGTGCAATGGAGTCATTTGGTGAATAGCAAAAGCTGAAGGAAGGCTGGTTTATTGTTTAACTAAAAGCCAGATTTAATTCAGGGAGGAGAGGCATGCATGACTGCATGAGCCATGAGGTTTTATTTATCGGTTTTGGATTATATGTTTTTGTCGGGCTAGCGAATATTCTAACGTGCTTGCTGTTGTCAGTACATATGACTAGCAAAGCTCTCTACAGCTGCAGAGAGGTCTGATTCTTTTTTAGTTTAGTATCATTCTTAGCACAGTTTTTAAGGGTGGTTGAAATGTATTCGTGAGAATTTAGATGTTTAAAAAATTGCTTTAGTTAAAGGGGTTAGAAAAAGTGATGTATAAATCAATGACGTTGCATACTTTTGGTCTTGTTTATCCTTCCTTATGCAAGAATCATTCAAAGGCGTTAAAGGCATAGTGGCAATGGGAATGCTTATGACATTGGCTTTGACAGCTCAATCCTGATGACTGATTTGAAATGCGTTTTTTTCTTCCATCTTTGTTGCGGAGACACACTGTGCAGAAAAATTCTTGACATGTTCTGTGTTCAATCAGGTAGTTAACAAGGCAGCTGCAACCTTTGCTCCTAGGGCTTCTACAGCTTCCAAAAATCCTGCTGTGCCAGGAAGTACATTATACTCAGTTTTTGAGATCCAGGGATACGCATCTATGCTTCTGGGCGGAGTTCTCTCCTTCAATCTTGTATTCCCTTCAAATGAGCCAGACATATGGCGATTAATGGGCATGTGGTCCATTTGGATGTTCAGTAAGTCCTTTTCTCCACTATGATAATAGAAATTCACTTCTTTTATTATACTACTTGGTTGCTCAAAATACTACATACCTAAAAATCACGAGAGATGGACATCATGATGTAAAGGAGAGAGAAAGTACGAGAGAGAGGGATAGACAAATAATTTACATGTGGGATTACTCATTGCGTAGCTTCATTTGTTTTAGCAAATCAGGTCTCACTCATCTATATTGAGTTATTTGCATGTTGGTTAAGATGTTGACAAAATCTAGATGAACTTAAACATGTCAAATGGAGCAGAAAGCACTACTCGTACATTAGATCTGGTTTCTTGTGGTGTAATGCTCTATTGATTTGGAGTGTGGACTATACGTGGGTCAAATAATAGTATTATATATTCAAATAGTTTGAGAGTGACAAGCTACTATGTTGATAGAAACAAGGATGAAGGTCATTGAAACCCATTTTGCTCATAAATGTTAATTCTTCCAAATATGCAATATCTCAATCTGTATCTTTGATTAGTAACTTTTGGAAACTGGAAACACAACTATACTCGATTATACTTCTATAACTGGAAACTGGAAATGAAATATATTTTCTTTGGTGCAGCAATTCCTTCACTTCGTGCCCGAGATTGTTCAAACAAAGAAAAAGAAGCACTCAACTATCTTTTCCTCCTCATTCCATTGTTAAATGTTATAATCCCATTCTTTTGGAAGTCCTTTGCTGTTGTTTGGTCTGCAGATACCGTCGCCTTCTTTTTGATGTATGCTTGGAAGGTAAGAATAGCTTCTTTTCAATGCCTTTACCAATGTACACTGTTCAGTAATTTTCAGTTACTGACACTATTTCTGCTTCACAGTTGGGGTGGTTGCAGAAAATAGAGTAAGGTTGCCATCTTGTCTATGCTGTACAAAAATATGTTCAAAACTTTCAAGGGAGCCGGAAATTCTAGTGAAGGAAAGACTAAGATGCTTAGAAGCCAGACAGAGTTGACACTAAATTGAAGTTATTCAGATGATGCAATCAGTTACTCCCTTTCGTTACGTGTATGAACAGTCTTGTCATGTTGTACGCGGATTTTTAATAGCAATTGTATTGGTATTTACTCTGCAAAATTTTATAATTGTTACTGTATTTTATACCTGTTTAGTTAAGTATAGGGACATGGCTAAATGGCTTAAATGATAGATTTCCTAGTTCCATCCTACATTCATATTGTTATTTTGTATATTCACTACTTTACCTGTTTTCCACAAATTGATAATAGGATAACGGTGGTCAAAGAGCCACCCAAAAGCGAGCAAAGTCTGTAAAGAAACACATAGCAGAACCAAACAGCAGTTCGCAGCTGGGTGCAGTGGCTCGAAATTACAACCACCGGTGGCACCTTGGATAAGGCTTGAGAAAGGGGGATCGCCGGAGATCGAGGAGCAAGCACACTCTAATCATCGGCAGCCCATCGGATTTCTGCTTGAAGGGGAAAAGCTGGTATTATTTAAGACAAGGGCTTGTTTTCACGGTTTTGGGATTTTCAATATAGCGCGAGAGGCCCGTTCAAAAGTACTACAATAGTATACGGATTTTTTTTTTTTTTTTTTTAATTTTTTTTTTTTTGAGGAAACGTTGGCCACTTAGCCGGGCAATATTATTAAATCAAATTAAAATCCGCTAAAGTGATGAAACTTTGAGTGAAATTTTCAGTCCATACATAACTCGACTCACATGCATTATATCTAGCCACTAAATGTGCTAATGTATTACCCGCCTGACTTACGAACGTGACAAAAATTGAAAGAAACAAACTCAGCTTTCATCCTATTAATATCATCGTAGAAGAGCATCAGTGGAGAGTAGCCCAGCAATTCTTGCTTTATAGTCTGTACTACAGTCAAAGCATCACACTCTAGAACAATATTCATAATCCCCGTAGACAAGCGACCAGAACAACAAGCCTAGCAGCTGCGACTTCAGCTTGTTCCACCTCCCAATTTGCCTTCAATCTCTGCGTTGCAGCAGCCACAATCACCATTTCATCCCGCATAACCATACCCAAATCCATTGTATTGCCAGCCCCCAAGTGCGCATCAGTACTGATTTTTACAACCCCTACAGCAGGTGGTCTCCAGCAATTAAGGGCACCAATAGTCAAAGTAGGTGGCTTGAATACTCGATGTGCATACTCAGTAAAGTCAGCCAATAGCTTTGAGTAATTCACGGCCACCTGAAAAGGATCAGACACGGGACCTTGATGCAGCCGTTCATTCCTGCAAAGCCATGATGCCCAAGCCAACATACAAAACCTGCTAATCTCTTTCCTGCCAATCCTATCAGCCACCCACATGAGACGCTCAGAAAAACTTGCAGTTGGAGCATCAACTAACAATCCCGCATACTCACTCTGAGCCCATATTATAGCAGCGTCGTGACACTCTAAAAGAGCATGTAAAACAGCCTCACTAGCAGCCCTGCATCCCTGGAACACACTGACAATATTGATATGATGATGAAGAAGCCTTTATTTCACTGCAATACTTACCTTACAAGCCCTCCAAATGAAGTGGCGCAGTTTAGGTAATCCTTCCATATCCCAAACCAGTTTCCATAATCCCTCCTCCTGATTTCCAATTTCCATAGAGAGAATACCACGCCTGAATTCTACTAAGCCTAGCCAACCAATAACCAGTCTTCACCAAATAACAACCATTCTTCGTTGGCCACCAAAATCTCTTATCATTAGGCCAATATGATGATATTGGTATATCGAGAATCAGATCACTCTCCTATCAACAAAAGAGATGTGCCTTTACCTAGCAGCCACGCCTCATTTATTATCGAAGTCCAGCAGGTCTGCCACTTTCATATCAGGGCCAGCATTCAAGTTTGGAGTTGGCACAAGAGATGTGCCTTTACCTAGCAGCCACGCCTCATCCCAGACCCCCAATGCTCATCCCATTCCTCACCCTCCATTTCAAGCCTTCAAGGAGAAGAGACCTCGCTCCCCAAATACTTCTCCATGTGTAACTCAGATAATATATAATTTTAAAAGTAGTACTACGTAGTTAGATAATAAAGTCAGCATTGTTTCATATGTAGCATAAAAGTCAAGCAAAAATCCAAGTGTATATTTGCATCAATTGCATGCATTGCACAATTTAATACAGTAATAATAGCTAAATCAGTAATAAGATCAGACAATCTTAAATCCACTGCTTCATTAATGAACTACAACAAGGTAAGAAATAATGATCAATTTACATCTAACAGTCTATATTAGCTCCGCGTTTCACAAAAGGGAATGAAAGGAAAGTAGTTGAAAGTCTGCAGCAGGGGAGATGCATCAACCTCAAAAGTCATTAAAAGGGAAAAAAAATGTTAATCATTTACAGAAAGAACTTTGCAAGAAGACTCCAGCAGCTATTAAACTAAAAACAAACGACCACCAACAATTATAAGCATTGATTATCAGGTAAGTAGATACTTCCACTTCACAGAAACAGAATAAGCCATGATATACTCAAAGTCTCAAACTATTCACTTCATCCACCTCTTCTCTATAAAGACTAAGAAAATGGTTTCCCTCAAAATCCATAGTTAGCTGCATCGCTACGTCCTCATCTACATAGCCAGATCTTCATCTTTAACAATCCAAATATTAACGTTAATAATTGGACACTTTACACAAACCAGCAACATTACAAATTTATGTAAATTGGCGGCCACCCAGACCCTCCTTCCTTCTCTTTCTCCTCATTACACTATATATACATTCTAAACATTTCAGCCATTATTACACTATAATAGTTAGGAATAGTCCTATACTGATCTTAATCATTTTATAGATCACAAAAAACACAGTTGCTGATAATAAAGCGGAATCAGGGAGTATTAAACACAAAAAGTAAACTATAGGGGAATGGGACCAAATTGTTGGAAGTTCTTGATATAAAATAAGAGAGTTGGGGAAAAACAAGAGAGAGAGAAAAACAAATGAAAGGGGAAAATCCCACATTGGTTGGGGGGAAAGGTTTTTCCTTGTTTTTATATTGTAGTGTCTTAGCACTACTTAGTTGAGTGAGTGGGAGGTAAGTGTTACTCCACACGCGCGTGCGCCAAGCCGGGTCGGTCTTGGGGAATGCGATGCGCGGGCGTGGGTCCTTGTTATTTTTTTGGAGAAATTTTATTTCCCTTTCTTTGTTAAACAGAATATTCTTTTTTGTCTGTTGGGATTATTCTTTTCTGACTGTTGGGATTACGGAATTAAATCAGTCATTAATCCCTTGATTGCAGCTGACTGATTAATTCCTTGTTTCTTGCTTCCGTTGTTGACTGGCTGAATGAATCTAGTCGTTTTTTTAGCCATATTCATCCCTCGTTTTATGCTTCTGGTCTCCCTTCTACTGCCTATATATACTCGGTCTTCTCTCTTCTCTAAAAAACTATCTAAACACGAGTTCTTTCTGTTCTGAGTTCCAGTCGGGTTTGTGAGTGCACATAAACTCCGGCGCCGTGCTTATCCTAGAGGGTGACCGCTTCTAGTCTACTGCACCGGGAGGTAGCGCGAAATCGTCTTTTAGGTCAGTGGTTCTCCACGACGCGACTATTGGTAGTTTGGTTTACGCATCAACAGATAAGTAATTTCTGTTTAATCGCTTAGTAGTTTAACAATCTAAAAGACGATTATGGCTTCCACATTTATGATTCCTAATATGTCTAAGTTAGAACCTCTTGATGGAAAGAATTATAAACGTTGGGATGTTAGGATGTGTTTTTATTTGGAGCAAATTGATGTTGCATATGTTCTTGATGATATTGTTGAACCTGATGATAAGCATAGTTTGTCTGAAACTGATGTTAAGTTTGCTAAGGATGATAGAACCTGTAAGGGCATGTTGTTGCATTATATGTCAAATAGTCTATTGGATATTTATATGGGTTTTTATCATGCTAAGGATATTTGGGATGCTTTAGAGAAAAAATATGGGACTGATTATGCTGGTACTAAACGTTATTGTGTTAGTAAGTGGTTGAGTTTTCAAGTTGTTGATGACAAGCCTATTATTGATCAGATTCATGCTTATGAGAATGTGTGTATTAATATGGCTGCTGAAGGTCTGTCTATTTGTGATATTACCCTTGCTATTGTTTTGATTGAGAAACTCCCTCCTTCTTGGAAGTATTTTCGTAACCAATTGATGCACAAAAAGAAAGACTTAACCTTAGAGGAAGCTTGTAGGACACCTTAAAATTGAGGAGGAAAACCGTATCAAAGACAAAGGCCCTTTTGTTTTTCCTTCCTCTTCCTCTGCCAAAGCCAATCTTGTTGAACTCAAACACAACAACCAGTCCAAAGCCAATAATAGTTCTCTTAAGTTTAAAGGGAAGGTTCAGAAGTACAAGCTTAAGGGTACTTGTTTTGAGTGTGGTTTGACTAGTCACAAGGCTAAGGATTGCAGGGTCAAGAAGAAGAATAATGGACAAAGTCAAGAAAATCTTATTGAGGAATCTGACGTTATTGTTGATGTTGTTTTAGAAGCTAACTTTACAGGTAATGTTGTTGAGTGGATTGTTGACACTGGAGCTACCAGACACATCTGCGCCAACAAGGACATGTTCACTACCTATGACAAGGTTGAAGGTGGAAATGTTTTCATGGGCAACTCAGCTTCCGCTTCTATCCAAGGCAAAGGGAAGATCGTTCTCACTCTCACTTCTGGAAAATTGCTTACTCTGACTAATGTTTTGCATATTCGAAAAATGCGCAGGAATTTAATTTCTGGCAGTTTACTCATGAAAACTGGACTGAAGCTCTCTTTTGGTTCTAATAGATTAGTTCTTACTCGCAATGGGGAATTTGTAGGAAAGGGCTTTTGTAATGGGGGGCTTTTTACTCTTGATGTTAAAATTGACACTACGAATAAGAATGCTAGTACTTCTTCTGCTTATATTGCTGAGTCTATTGATTTATGGCATGCTAGATTAGGCCACGTTAATATTGATTCTATTAAAAGGCTTAAAAACTTAAATTTGATTCCAAGTTTTTCTAACACTGATATTTCGAAATGTAAAATTTGTGTTGAAGCCAAATTTACAAAGAAGCCAGTTAAATTAGTAGATATACAGAGTGAAGTACTAGAGCTTGTTCATAGTGACTTGGGTGATTTTAACAATCACGAAAGTAGAGGGGGTAAAAAGTATTACATTACTTTTGTTGATGATTGCTCACGTTTT